TTTTTTTTGCGTTGAATGCGTCGTCGCTCAGTTAGTAAACGGAAACACTCAAACTTACGATGGTTATCGTTAGAATGTTTCGTGAAAGAAGTATTGTCTGTGTTTTCTCTCTATCATCCGTTTATATTACAGTTACTAAATTTGGTTCTGCAACGAAATTTTGATGCTGCATTCATCGCATATCACAATGCTCATCAGTAACACAGCATAATTCAACGACAAACGCGTTTCTAATTCACTGACATTGCTGATCAGTCGAGCGTCGTCGAAAGGATATTAACCCGAAATTCGCTATCACTGATATTGAGAAGTGACCCGACCGGTTTTCATTTTATACTCTTCTCAGGTCGAATTTGCCGAAGTGTCTGAGTTTTCCAAGCCTTCACAATCCACGTTTGCATCAATTGGCCATTGCACATATTTTCACGACTTTACTGCTAACTATTGAGTAATTAATTCATTCAATACTGCCACTGAATCAGTCACCATGATCGCCACAGAATAATGAACTCGTTCCACTCGGTTCTTACTCACTAATTTCTATCAGATATCACTAAGCAATTAAATCATTTCAAAGAGCATTGCATAAAACGGGTATCTTGGAGCTATTCTAATGAAATCAGCATATTTTGACTGTTACCTCTGCGTGCAAGCAATCTCATGAACTTGCCCGGATGTCTCATATCCGTTTCAAACTCCAGCTTTCGCATTTTCTGGTTGGATTGCTCACTGGATGTATTGCTACATTCTTGTTAACGCCATATCTTACGCTTAACAATTCCATTCCGAATGTCGACAGCAGTAAACAATTTGTGTTCATCCCGCCTGATCAGCCGACTGTTGAACAACCTGCGCAAAAAGCTGTGGAAGAAGAGCTGGATGAAGATGAGTTCATGCCGTTGGCTGACCATGATCATGAGGGTGTGTACTTGACATTGATCGGCTTTCTGCGGTTTGACTGGCTATGATACGCATCTAAACAGATTCTAGGCCGTATTTATGTCCAAATTAACGTTACGTACTTCTTTGATAAAAAATCCTGTTTTCTAAGGATAAGCCGATTCATCCACCTGAGGCTCACACTCTGAAGCGGT